CTGCCATTTGATGGTGGGATAAAGTCAAATAGCCTCTCTCTGATGCCAGTAAGTGTTGTCCTGAGAACATGGGCAGGTTGGCAAATAGACAGAGTTCAGAACCTGTGCTGGAAGGGAGATAAAGAAATGTCTGAGACAGAAACAAAAATGTTAAAGCAAGTGCAGTGTACCCACTGACAGAGCAGCCACAAGCTTTTAGTAATTAAATAGGGTCCCCTACTTAGCCAGACAGCCCAGTGGTTGTTGGGTCTTAGGACAGTCCAGTGGCTCCCTGGAAAAAGCCAGAGCAGAAGGTAAATACCCAGCTGGGAACTCTCAAACAGCTGCACATTTCAAAAATTGGTAGGTCTCACCCACAGATCCTAACTAAACAATACCACTTAAGTATAAATCAAAATTTTTATTTATTTTTATTTGATTGTATGTTACGTGTATCATTGTTCTGTTTACATGAGTATGCACAGTACATATGTCTGGTGCCTTAGGAGGTCACAAGAGTTATCAAATCCCCCAGAACTATTACAGATGATTGTGAGCTGCCACGTGGGTTCTGGGAACTGAACTTGGGTCCTCTAAAAGAACAAGTGCTCTTAACCACTGAGACACCTCTCCAGCTTCAGAGAAGTTGAAATTTAATTATGAGACTCAGTCATTTTTCAAAGGCTATTTGTCCTATTTTGAGAGCTTTGTTAAAACTAGTTAATATAGCCTGTAGATCCATTGACCAGGCACTGGAAAGCTATAATTTCTCAATGTGGCAGTGAAGGATAAGAGCCCCAGTACTGACTCCTCCATAGGGTGCCATTCCCGCTCTTACCTCAGGACCTCTGGTACTATTTGTGCATACTGACTTCTTCACATGCAGACCAGGACTCTTGAGTACCACTTAGCAAAATTATTTTTCTTACAGATAAATATCAGTCCTAGCACATTTCCCCTCTGCTAGAGTAAATCTTAAATTTAAGATGCTTATATTGCCGTGATACTGGAGAGCAAGGCAAGATGACAAGTTTAAGTGATCTTAAACTACTTAGTGAATTCCAGGCCAGCCTGAACAATTTTGTGGAACCTTGTACCAAAGTTAAAATAAAAAGAAGGCTTGGGAGATAACTCCAAAGAAAAGTGTTTCCCAGTATGCACAGGATTATGGATTCAGTTCTCCCTAACCCTCCTCCTCCAAAACACACACACACACACACACACACACACACACACACACACAAAGTGCTTATCCTTTTGGAGGCATGGAACTGCTAAGTTGTCTTTCTATTTTGTCAGTTTGTAAATCTAGAACTTCTAGAAGTAATTTCCTTAAATCCTTAAAATTACCAGTTGCTAAACAATCCTTCATTTTCCTCAAATACAAAAGAAGTTGATAGAAGTCAGCCAAAAGAAACACTTAAGCTTGTAAAGAGAAACAGGCTGTTATTAAAAGCCACAGTTGCCATTAACAAAGGTGATGTCATAGCTAAATGTCTGGGATCCCTGAAATCCCTGTGGCCAAGGAGGCCAACTACAATCCTTCCAAATCAGTTAACAGTCACCTACCTAATAGTGTTTAGCAAGAGTGACTAGTGAGATTAAAGGTGCACACGTTTACTCTCAGAACTTTGGAGGTAGAGGCAGGCAGATTTCTGTTTGAGACCAGCCTGGTCTACATATAGAGTTCTATGACAGCCAAGGCTACATAGTGAGATATTGTCTTGGAAGAAAAAAAGAAAGAAAGGAAGAAAGGAAGAAAGGAAGGAAGAAAGGAAGAAAGGAAGAAAGGAAGAAAGGAAGAAAGAAAGGAAGGAAGGAAGGAAGGAAGGAAGGAAGGAAGGAAGGAAGAGAGAGAGAAAGGGAGGAAGAAAGAGAGGAAGAAAGAAGGAAGGAAAGAAAGAGGCAGGCAGGAGTAGAGGGGACTGGTCTGCAGGTAAGGTAGTTTCCCACAAAGGAATCTGGGAACTAGTGTGGTGCCCACTGCTTGCAAAGCCATTGGCAAGCACCAGGAATGTATGAAACTGGTAACTGTTAGATCTGAGGCTACAGGCTGATCAGGCCATACCTTTCCGAAGCTTTCAGCTGCTATAGAGGAAATAGCAAGGTTGCTACCAAGAGCCTGTCTGGGAATCTCTAACCCTCCAAAGAATCTTCGGGTATCTGGATGTCATGAGAATGACAGGTGCCTTTGTTATTTTCCCAAGAAAGTTATAGGCTCAGGTTGCCAGAGTCCAGGACAACACAAGACTACCATTAGCAGGCATATGACAAGGAATGTTAGGGTACACCATAACTAAATGCCCCTCTTCTCTGACATCCTCAAAAAGAAAAGCATATTCCTTCCATAATTCCCTCCCCTACCCTACCATCCAGGAATCAGAGACCAAAAGCACAAACCTCCCCACCTCCTCTGAGATTTATAATAAAGGAGCCTCAGCCATAGAAACATATGCATATAAGTAACAATATATGAACTGAATAAGTTGCATTTATATATTTAGGACTAATACACACATATATATATACATACATGCATACATACATATAACACACAAATAGTAACAACTTTTTAAAAAGAGGCTATGAGTTTGAAAGATATATAGGAAGAAGGATATAGGGGAAGGTTTGCAGGGAGGAAAGGGAAGGGGAAATGATGTAATTATAACCTCAAAAACACTTTTAAAATATTTTTTAAATGAGGAGTCCCATTCTGACCCACGGATCTGCTGTCTACCCTACATCCTTGACATGCTGTCTGTCTATAAGTTTACACCATTAATAACTCTTCTAGTAAATCACTTACCCAAAATAACAATCTGTTTCAGTGCCCCTCTGAACCCCACATCTCCAATCATTCAGTAACTGGGGAAAATCTTGGATGAAGAAAAAGACTGGAATTTCATGTGTGGAATACTTTGGATATGTCCCTATGAGTCAGCTTGTCACACAGAGAGTGACTTATCTAAAGTAACCTGTCACAAAGATCAAGTACTTCCCAGAGAAGAACCTTCCAGGGTTGATTTGTACTTACCAATTTATGAATCTAAGAGGAAACCTGTCTCTGGGATCCCTGGCCATCAAAACACATAAAAAGAGTTAATTAAAAAGTGTCAATGAGGCTGAGCAGTGGTGGCACACGCCTTTAATCCCAGTACTTGGGAGGCAGAGGCAGGCGGATTTCTGAGTTCAAGGCCAGCCTGGTCTACAGAGTGAGTTCCAGGACAGCCAGGGCTACACAGAGAAACCCTGTCTTGAACAAACAAACAAACAAACAAACAAAAAACAAACAAACAAACAAAAAAGTGCCAATGATTCTTTTTTTTAATTGGATATTTTATTTACATTTCAGATGTCATTCCCTTTCTCTATTTCTCCCCCACCCAGAGACCCCCTATCCCATCTCCCCCACCCCCCTCCTGCTTCTATGAGGATGTGCCCCTACCCACCCACCCACTCCCACCTCCCTCCCTGGAATTCCCCCACACTGGGCCATCCAGCCTTCATGGGACCAAGGATCTCCTCTCCCACTTATGCCCGACAAGGCCATCCTCCCCTATATATACAGCTGGAGCCATGGGTCCCTCCCTATGTGCTCCCAGGCTGGTGGTTTAGACCCTGGGAGCTCTGGTTGGTTGGTATTGTTGCTCTCCTTGTGGGGCCACAAACCCTTTCAGCTCCTTCAGTCTTCTCTCTAACTCCTCCATTAGAAACCCCATGATCAGTTCAATGGTTAGCTGCGAGCATCCACCTCTGTATATGTCAGGCTCTGGCAGACCTCTAAGGAGACAGCTATATCAGGCTCCTCTTTCCCCAACAATTCTTTTTCTTTGATTAAATTTATTACCATCTAGCCTAAGATAATTATGGCAAAACTACCTTGCCAAGTGTACTCACTGGCTATAATTGAGTGACCTCTACTTTAACCTGCTTGTCTGCATTAACACATCCTTCCCAGAGTGGTTTTAAGTGACTATACAATAAAAGTGTGTATATTCAGCGATAAACTATGGCATACATGTAAAACGGACTGTTAATTTATTGATAAAATTTAGCTGTCAAGTCATGAAAAGGCACAAAACCCTTAACATGCTTAAGTTTACGTGAAAGAAGTTAGTCCAGAAAGCCTGCATATTCTATGATTCCAATTGTATGGCATTCTAAAAATGGTGAATCTGTAAAAATACTCAAAGAAGGTCAGTGGCTGCCAGAGGTTTAGCAAAGCAAAAAGGAATGAACAGGTAAAGCCCATGGGATGTTGTTCAATATTATAAATTTACATAACTATCTTATAGAAGATGGAAGAGGAGGAAAGAGTCTGCTTAAGTGGCTTTGAACAATAATGGAGTTTGTAAGACTAAAGGGAAAGTGTAGTCTATAGTCTAGTATAGTTTATAAAGTTGCTTCCCAACAATACCAACCAATCAGAGATCCCAGGGTCTAAACCACCAACCTGGGAGCACATAGGGAGGAGTGCGTGGCTCCAGCTATATATATAGGGGAGGATGACAGTGTCAGCCATAGGTGGGTGAGGAAGTCCTTGGTCCAGTGAAGGCTGGATGCCCCAGTGTGGGGGGAATCGTGGGAGAGGTGAGAGTGGGAGGGTGGGTGGGGGCACATCCTCATAGAAGCAGGAGGAGGGGGTATGGGATAGGGGGTTCCTGGAGGGGGGAAGGGGATTACATCTGAAATGTAAATAAAATATCCAATAAAAAAAATTAAAAAAAAATAAAGTTGCTTCCCATCATGGTACTAGGTGGGGAGGCATACACAGGAGTGCTGTTCTGTCTGGTTTTCTATGGATCTAAACTTTCTTTTAAAGGCAAGATCTTAGTGAAGTGACTGTCTTTTTCCTTTATCTCATCAGGAGGCATCAAAGCAACCAGCACAAGAAAGCTCCCTTTTAAACAGCAAGGGGTCCATCCCTTTCTTGATGATTTACACCACTCTTGCCATCTACAGTTAAATTTCTGTTTCTTGGCTTCCTGCATGTCTGTTAAGTGTGTTCCTTTCTTCTCCAGGGCATGGCCTTTACACTCGAAGAAAGGCTTCAGCTCGGCATCCACGGCCTGATCCCCCCCTGCTTCCTCAGCCAGGATGTCCAGCTCCTCCGCATCATGAGATACTATGAGAATCAGCAGAGCGACCTGGACAAGTCAGTGCCTGAAATTGTTCTCTGTGCCCAGTCCTGAGGCTGAGCTGCTCTGCTATGTGGATTACAAGTGGGGTTTCTGAATTCTCTGAAGCTAGGAAAAGCTGAGAGTGCAGAGAGACTTCAGATTCTGCTCTTTAAAGGAGTGACAGTCTCCCTAGAGATGAGGGTTACAACAGAAGCACAATTAAAATGAAACCAGATTTGAAGGGTGAACCTGGGAGGCCATCTGAGATATGTCAGAGATAAGTCAGTTCAAGAAGTTTTAATGAAACAATTCAGCAGACAGAATAGGGTTGGAGGGGGGGTTCACTGAGAAGAAGGAGATGAGGCAAAAATGGAGTGGTGAGGATTATTAAGGAATAGTGAGAAGAACAGTGGGGGGGGGGGGAAATGGAGAGGGAATTTCTTGGGAAGGTCTAGATCCTGTGCTGAAGGTCATGAGCAGCAAATAAAAGCAGTGTTCCTTCTGAGTGTTCCTCAGTGGGAACTCAGACACAAAGAGCACCCATCAGAGTCCTTGAGTCAATATTATGTGTTACTAAAGACTATCATCACCCAGGTTAAATCCACTAGTCAGCACCGGATCTAAACACAGCTGGCTCCAGCATCTATGATTTTAATGTCTCTGCCCTGCAGTCCTGAAGTAGCAACATCTAGTTGTCATAAGACTAATTATAGACTGAGTGAAACCTACCTTCCTGTACTAGATAACTCAAGTTACTTTGCCCATCCTTGTCTTTCACTTGCATAACTGTGCCAATGGAATGTGACTCATTGGGTTTCATAAGAACTAAATGCATGTCTTCATAATGTGCTTAGATGATGCCTGGGACATAGTAAGCCCTGTATAAGTTTGTCGAACAAATGTGTTGACTTGTTATGGGCTCTAGTGAACATATAGGAAGAAGATAAAGGCTCTCTATAGAGCTAAATGGCTAGAACTTGGTCTAGGGGTATGACAGCCATTGTTAAGGCCTAGTTAAAATGTTAAGGCCTAGGTAACTCTTACCTCTCTAACCTGCCATTTTGTGCTGTTACTAATATCATAAGAAAACTTTCTCATATGCTGTTACTGATGTTACTAGGATGTTCTGTACTTTGGTGTTCTTGAAAACCAACCACAATAGAAGTAATCTAGAACTGCTTTGTATAGTTAACCACAATAAGCTTAGACCCAAACCAACCACTCAGCAGCACTCCCTGCACCTACGTATGAGCTTTTATGGTTTCTTGCCTTTATAAGCTGCTCCTGGGATGGACCCCAACATAAGGGAGACACCTACACGAATATAAGAAGCTATTTGGAATAAGACTTCCATTTTGAGTAGGGGTTGAGTAGTAATTCCCAAGACCTCTCTGAGAACTGGCATCCTACTTGGCAGAAAGAAACGTTTATGTAGATAACTGATATCCTGGTTGGCAAGTTAAGACATGCCATATTAGTTGAAGCAAGTTACCTGTTACAGTTGAATATCCCAACTGATAGAAACAGGATAAGTGTACAACAAAGACATGTTCCTAAGGAAATACCCTATCCCTAAATCCTGATTGGTGGAATAACTTGGCACAGATGTTTACGGATTTTAGGCTTAAAAGCCCTGTAGGATCTTAACTCAATGTTACAGCCAGCTCCAGAGTCTGGTCTATGGCCCTGATCGATCAGTCTTTGGATGTACAATCAACCATCCATTTTTGACTGAGACAGGTATACGAGTAAGTAGTTTGTGTGGTGATTCCAAGACCGCAACAGCCATGAACGGCAGAGTCAGAAGCACATGAGGCTCTGGTACCTGCTTGCTAGTACCTGCTGTCTCCTCCAATCCATTCATAACTTCTGAGAAGCAGTTAACAAGCATGCCCCTGCCCATATCATGTCCCCACCCCTAAAACACTAAATTCCAGGGATATTACTCACATTAATTCCAAAGCCATTTTATCACCAGGTCAGAAATTGTCTCCATTTTGTTCCTCCCTACTCACACTTGGTCTAGCCACACCATCTTGAAGAGCAAACCAGAGGTTACACAAGAGATTCTACTAGTAAACTGATACACACCTAAACTTCAAACAATCAGAAACTCTTCTTATGTTGGGTTTACCAAAAAGAATGAGAGTTCAAAGAGAAATGTTTGCTTAAAATATGAAATTGTAAAAGCTAAAATCTGTAATGCTCACCTTCTCAATTCTTTCCAACTCAATGGGCCTTACTTACTTGCCTAAAATAATGCTATATGGCCAGGAAGTAATGAATGTGCATATCTCTGAAAGCTCCAGGGACTTGCTTATGGCACAGAGCAAGTAGGGACTTTCATACACTATCAAGAGACCCTCATTTCAGCAGGTGATTGGAAGACAGTCTAAGAAGGCTTTCCAGCTACAAGGACTGTGTTATGCTGGTAAATATTCTGTAGGGGAGGGGAATAGAATGTAGAACTGGAGAAAAATGTACACAAATGGCTAGGGAAATGGAGTGCCCTATACCGGGAGTGGGTTGAGGTGATGGCTACCCCTGAATGTAAATCCTCCCTGGAGCAAAGTCTTCATTTTTAAGCACAGTGACATTTTCCAGGGTCTGCCAAGGAGCTGCACTGGTGTTCCTGGAATCAACTGGCTTCTTTCCTTTGCAAGGTACATCATTCTCATGACTCTCCAAGACCGCAATGAGAAGCTTTTCTACCGGGTGCTGACCTCAGACGTAGAGAAGTTCATGCCCATTGTGTACACACCCACTGTGGGACTGGCCTGTCAGCACTATGGCCTCACCTTCCGCCGACCTCGGTGAGTACCTATGATGGGGGTCAGGGAGGAGCTGGCCCATGGAGGGCAAGAAATTGTTTCCAGTATCCTTGCATCTTGGGACCTTGAGAGGCTACCTTAGAGTCAGCAGCCCAACAAGAGACATCTGATTTTACATATGCTCAGTGAAATAAAACCATCAACATAGAAATGAGCTGGGAGAGTAATTAGCAAGAGGATACTGAATCTTCACCACCTCCAAATGATAAATGCTTGAAATCTCGGCCTGAGAAGTGGTTCCCATTGGTTTCACATTCTCCACCTGTCGTCTCTATATGTCCTCTCCCCTTTTCTGCCCATCTCCAGCATACCTACAGACCTGCAGGGATATTTGAGGACAATGAATAGTACTGAACACCAAACGCATACTCTCGTTAGCCTTTAAATGAGTATACATCCATTTGGAGTTGACTTTAGATTCTGTATAAATTGTCACTTTATTAGGCAAAGAATATGGTATTCCATTTTCTCCTAAAGCTAAAGGACTTGAGAGGAGCTTTTGCATTCATTTTTAGCACTAGAAAAATATGTATGTATGAATTTATTTGTGCCAGAAAAATAGATCTCAGTGCAAGGTGCCTGATTATTGTGACTACATAGTTTTTGCATTAATAATAAAAGTGTCTAGATATGTTATATATAATAGAACATTGTAGAAAAGCAATTAATACTGTGAAGAATACTAAAACATGTGTAATTTACATTTATAGAGTAGTTTTGAATCAAATTTCTTGCTTTGTTTTCATTTGTATGGCTTAGTATTTATTCATTCATTCATTCATTCATTTTGGGTTTTCAAGACAAGGTTTCTTTGCGTAGCTCTGGCATCCTGACACTTGTAGTGTAGACCAGGCTGCCCTTGAACTCAGAGAGATGCCTGCCTTTGCCTTCCACATGCTGAGAGTAAAGGCATGTGCCATGCTCCCAACCTTCCATGGCTTAGCTTTTAAAGGCAGGTTCTGCTGTAACCCAGGCTGGCCTAAAAACTCACAATGTAGCAAAGCTATCTGGAATATTTTACTCCACCCCCTGGGATCACAGGAGTGTTCTACCACACTTACCTACAATCCACTTTTCTCTTTAAATCATCTTTTATATGCAGAACATGTAATAATGTATCTATGACAGTTTTTGTTCATTTGTGCTGGGCTGTGAAAGATGAATGTAAAGAATTGGAATTTTAAGAAATTGCCTATATGGAATGTTGTACCCTAAGTGAGACATCTATTATCAACTGCTTCAAAGCTCAGGAATCTTCAGAGGAGGGAATGGAAAGAATAGAGCCAGAAGCTTGGGAGGAGGCTGCAGAAAAGCATCTTCTGGACCTGACAGGGACATCTCATTCATGAACTCACTATCGCTGCAGTTACCTGCACAAGGGGCCATCACCTTGTCTAATACATGAGGAAGGAGCTCAGGAGGCTCCCACCTTCAATGGGGGACTATGGACAGGTAATGGGTACTGGCAGAGAGGGTGCCATTTTCTTCAGTGGTGAAGACACCAATAGGTTGCTCATATTTCAATAAATAACCCCAACTAGTGAACATGCAAACAACTTTAATTAAACTCGATTAGTCAAAAAAAGACATCAGTAGGGGTTTCAAAAAAGAGTGACAAATGAGAACAATGGGGATGAAAGGAGCAAAAATTCAGAATATCCACATATGAAACAGTTAAAGAATTAAAAAATGGAAATGAAAAAAATAGCTAAGTTGGGAAGCATATGGGACCCATGGAACCAACAGAAAACTAATTAGGGTTAGGAATGCACAGAACTTGGAAGCACTCCAATCACTAAGATGACTAGATCCTCCTAGGTCAGCAGACAGTATTCAGGGGGTAACACGAGGAAGGCTGGTGATAATCTTGTTTGAATTGACAACAGGACTGCTCCATGGTATTGTTAGAATGTATGACATCTAGCTCCTTATAGTGGTAACAGGAGGTTCGAAGACCTGAGTAAAATCAATGAAGATTTTCTGCCCCAAAATGGAGTATTTGTCACATGATCAAGGCAGTTGGACTGATGGGGTGCTGTTTCTGGCTCAGGAGTCATCAGTGGACAGAGTAGAGGGAGCAAGATAAGGCTCACAGTGTGCAGAAACAAGATCCTGAAACCACTTCCACCAAAAAAGAAACAGGCCACCTCTAGGTGTAGATAGAGGGGGTTCTACAGCTGTGGACACAGCATGGAAAAAAAGATAGGCAACAACACCAGCAAGGAAGCCAAAGATGAGCTGAAATGTGGGGAAAACCAAAACTATAAGGCCAGATACTATCCCCAAATCTTTATACATCCTATTCAATTAGTATCACGCCCTCAGGAGGTAGGTACTGTTATCTTCTGCAGGATGAGGAAGCTGAAGCTCAGAGAAGTAAGTTACCCAAAGTCACACAGCAAAGCCAGGACTCTACCAATGTTCTCTGAACTGAGTGTGAGCAGGAACCTTCCATGCTCACTACACTCCCTTAGAGTTCAGGATGAGGCACACATGCTAGATATGCAGGGCTGGGCACCATTTCAATTCTAAGAACGATTGACTGCCAAAGGTCTAGGTGAAGATTACCAAATGCCACTTCTGAGCCTCTCCCCAGAGGAAGGATCTAGTCAGGCCCTTGGCCTGCAGCTAGCTGAGGCTGAGACAGGTTCAGGCAGATCAAACTGTCTTTTTGCATTAGTCCCTCACACCTAGTACAGTGTGTTTCTCACTAACCCTTCTTCAGATGACTACCCAATTAAGTGATTTGACATGTGGCATTCCAAGATGTTGCTCTAGGTTTCCATTTGGCCTCTTTCCAGGGGTTAATTTCATGCCTGCCTTGCTCCCAAGGGATAGGAGACTGGGTTCTGCCTCATCTGAAGCACTGGCCTAGGATGGCTTTAAAGATTAACATCTAAGGGAAGGACAGCCCCAGGGCCAAGAGGAGGAGAGCCAGGCTCTCTCAGTTTCTGAAATGATAAACCTTCCTGCCAGGTTGCTGTTAACAGAGAAGTGCTCTGTAGAAGTGCCTGCTCCCCTACCAAAGCTAATTTGGTCCAAAAAACACTAGAATTGAGGCTGTAACCCTAAAATTGAGCCTCCAGCACACCTTGGCTCTGCATCACCTCAGAGCCTAGAAGGAGATACCAAAGTATCTTGGGGTACCTAAGAATCTTGAGTAGCTCTTCACAACAGAGTAACTATACCTTATCCCTTCATTCCTTTCTCCTGGTACAGCCTCTGCATGTGCTTCCATAGATCTGACTGGCAGGGGCACCCACTAATGGTTACTAAGAAGTGAAAGCCAAGGTAACGTTGGGTAGAAGCCAGGACAGATTCCAAAAGACCTGTATCAAGAGGAAGTCAATATGATAGCCAGGGTCCATGCTCTTTTCCCAAGCTTCCTATCCTTTACCCAAACTGTCTGCACCTTGCTCATTCTGTTAGGCTCCAGATGGCACACACACAACTGTGGATATAGCATTTTGGGTCTCAGTGTGCTGCTTAAGCTGTGTGAATAAACAGAGATGTTCATGAAAAAGTTATTCATGGTACCTGTTTAAGATGGTGAGAGAGACTTCATGCATGTGGGGGACATTGTCATAGGTATAGGGACCACTGTGCAGATTTTTGCTCTAAGGAAAAAGGTTGGACTCAGTTCTAACAATGAAAAATGGAAATTATAAGCAAGAAGTTGGGGTGGTAATAAAATTTCAGGGTGGTCAGGCATCAAAGGTAGAAAACTTTTGCTAAAGAAACTTGGCAGGATTCTTGCTCAGAGTGAGGTCTTCAAGGACAGAGAATGTAGACCACTGCCTGGCCTATCAGAAAAGACCTAAGAGCCTGAAAAAAGGTTTGGTCAAAGGAGAATCTATCAGAGAATTGGACTATGGGAAGTTGAAAGGGCTCAGACTTTAAACGTAGGCAATATTGGCCTTAAATTTCAAGTCCTGATGATTTCAATAATTAGCATAGCAGTCCCCTTACCCCCTCCCTCAACTTGGCCTTTTCTGTATGAAATAGGAGCAATGCTTATGCTGACTGAAGCTGTCAAGATTCCATATGAAAAGGGCTTGGTCCTACAAGGTGCCAGAAGCTCCCTGGTTCACCATTCCTAGGATATGGTATCTGACTCAGTCACCCTGCCTGTGCTGGCTTGGTGGTGGAAGCATAAGCTGAAAAGAGACCTATCCTCTTCAACATGCTTTGGTCACGGTGTTTCTTCACAGTGTCCTAACTATGACATTGCTCAAGAACATGGGTTTCTCAGTCCTCTGAAATGGTGCCATTCTTCATTGTTTGGTCCAGTTCCTATATTATCTGTAATTTCTTTAAGTAATTCTTTAGTGAGTACCTACAAGGAGTAGAGGGGGAAAGTGTGCTGAATATTAAAAAAAAAAAAACCCACAGGCTAGTTGGATGCTCTATGGAAAACATCTGAAGAATTATTTGGATTTGGAAAAAGATAACATCCCTTAGTCCTGAACCAAGCCACCATCTTTTTCTGTAAACAGATATATTGCTGCACCCAGGCCACTATTGTATACATAGAGGATATTAACATCTGTCATTTATTTAATGCTTACAATGTCTGTGATTGGGCCCTAGCCTAGGACCTCCCACAAAACTCTTGTTATTTTACTGAGAAGGAAACTGGAACTAGTCTGTACAAAATCTTACAGCTAACTCAGCTCTCTATACTTTTTGTAAATGTGCAGTCCAGCTTCTTATGGCCCTGGCAAGCATGATGCTTGATAGATAAGCACCTGCCTTCTTATAAACGCCCTTCTGTGATAGACTTGCACATAAGAGAGGCACACACACACACACACACACACACACACACACACAGTGTAAGGGGAATTATGCCCTGTGCACAGAGCAGTGGGGAACAGAGTCCACAGGAATGTCAGCCCCAGCTTCCACCATAATAATAACCAGACATCCCTGGAACCTAGCTCCCCCACATCCAAGCCTGCATTACAGAACTGCCCCTCAGA